TCTAGGGAATGACACGTGGTCTTGAGAATAAGATTCTTTGTTTGAGTTGTATCCATATTCATGTGTCTTCTCATGTGCAACCGAGCGCAAACCTTAAACAAAAAAATGATACTCTAGGGAATGACACATGGTCTGAAATGGGACAACATTACGTCAGAGCCGAAGAGGTCTATAGACAATGTGCACGAGCAAAAACCTCTATCATAAAGCATGATAGGAAACCGAGGAAAATTACTCTGCTGTTTTCGTCTGTTGAAATACTTACAGTTCCATAAAAGATGTCGAAGGAAAAAATTTGTGGGAGGGATTTTAAGAGGAGCTGAAAAAGCGTGAGTACTCCGCACAATAACCTGCCTCGATGAGCCTTTGTGTTTAATGTAAATTATCAAATCCTCTTTGAGTAATATTCGACTGTTATTTAAAAAGATATTCCATTTTATTTCGAAACGACGGGAAGCATCGGTTGCGTATGCATTAAGCGTTCGAAAATGCGCCCTTCACCTCCCTCAGACTATCAGTGCTCCTTATTTGAGTATTTTTAAAAAGGTAAAGCAACTCATAACAGAAAGAAGTCGAAACAGACGTGGTGATCCTGAGGATCAAACTGGGATCTTACATGTAAAATAGTCATTCAGCGCGCGAGAAATTTGTAAGTTATTTAACTATTGGCTATTTTTTATCATCAATAAGAGGACAGACAGATAAAGCTGACGTCAACGAGCGCGCGCTCTTTCCGTTGGTTGTTTTGATCACTAAAGATGAGAAGTTTTTATCGTTTTTGTTATTGTAAAAAACAAATAGACATCAGTTTTTTCAGTGTCTGTCCTCTTATTGACGATAAATTGCGTCATCACATTGTCAAAGTAGTGTGGATCCACGAGGCGTAGCCAAGTGGAGAAAACTGATGTCTATTTGTAAAAACCTCTTGCTCCGAAGGCGGCGCACTATTAAACTGAACTACGATTCTCCTACAATATGCTTATACAAGCGTTATCAATAGCTTACCCCGTCCACACCGTGGTCCGGAAAATCCCTTTCGACAGATACAAGCCCAGGATCCATTTTCTTCTACGCATGTTCCTCCATTGCGGCAGATGTTTTTCACAGAACAACCTCCTCGCTCTTAAAAAGACGAGAGAGAGAAAAAAAAAACACTTTTAAAATAACTTCATGAACAAGCAGGCATACCTAACTAGGGTGAATGAAAGAAACAAGGAGGACGTGTGAAGAAACCTGACAGTAATCGAAGCGAGACGAACGGTGAGCTTGCAATAATAGATACCTCTTTTAACACGTGGAACAATACTCCAGTTTCGAGTTCCAAATTACCGCTGTGTTTCTTGATTACAGACTCGTTTACTCAGGGTTAGCCTCGTATCAGTGTCTAATTACTCACAAATACCAACGGTAAAGTAAAGAATACACAACACAACACAATACGAACACTTTGAAACTTGACGGACCTTGACTGGAACACGTGAATATTCTTCACAAAATCGAGGCTAAGCCTGAGTAAATGAGTCTGTAATCAAGAAACACAGCGGTAATTTGGAACTCGAAAAGGGTCTATTGTTCACATGTCTCTATTATGAAAGCTCACCGTTCGTCTCGCTTCTATACAAAGGTACGGCTACCTCTGAAGAGGTACAGAAAACTTTGAAGGGAACTATTCTTACAAAAATGGCAAAAAGAAGTTATTTTTAGCTTTTTGATCCTGTTTTCATTTGTGTGCGCTGATAGTGTCAAATCGCAGCTGAGTTGCTTTGACGTTAAAGGATTTGTTAGCTTACTTTCTTCACAGTTGGTTCCTTTGTATGCACGTGGGCAGACGCAAACATAGTAGCCAATACGATCAACACATTTGGCGCCATTCTGACAGGGATTACTTCCACACTCGTCGATATCTTAAACAAAATAATAAAAAAAGGATCTCAAACAAAGAATCTTATTCTCAAGACCACGGGTCATTCCCTAGAATATGCTTTCTTTGTTCAACAGTTGTACATGAGAAAACACATGAATATGGATACAACTCAAACAAAGAATCTTATTCTCAAGACCATGTGTCATTCCCTAGAGTATCATTTCTTTGTTTAATTGTTGCACATGAGAAAACACATAAATATGGATACAACTCAAACAAAGAATCTTATTCTCAAGACTATGTGTCATTCCCTAGAGTATCATTTCTTTGTTTAACAGTTGTACATGAGAAGACACATGAATATGGATACGTACAACTCAATCAAAAAAATCTATTCTCAAGAGAATGACACATGGTCTAAAATAGGGAAAACGCTAGTCCTGGGAAACTATTCTACTATATGCTTCCAAAATGTCTGTTATCATTGATATCATATTTTACTAGTATGCATTCTTACTTATTTGACAGTTTTTCCCTGCAAATCCCTTTGGGCAAATGCACCGATAGCTTCTCTTGTATGCTTTACAGACGCCTTTGTTCTGACAAGGCTTAGATGAGCACGTTGTTTGGCCTATAAAAAACTAAGAGCATTTAGTATGGGATTGGGGGTTTAGTGGTTTACCGCTCGCCCTCTCACCGCCCGGCTCAGACTGGATCGTGAGTTGAGTTTGTTTGATGTGTT